GAAGAAAGAAATTGAAGAGGATACCAGAAAATGAAAAGATCTCCCATGCTCTTGGATAGGTAGGATCAACATAGTAAAAAATGGCAATCCTACCAAAAGCAATGTATAGATTCAATGCAATCCCTATCAAAATCCCAAAAACATTCTTCACAGACCTTGAGAGAATAATAATCAACTTTATATGGGAAAAAAAACCCAGGATAGCCAAAACAATCCTATACAATAAAGGAACTTCCTGAGGCATTACCATTCCTGACATCAAGCTCTATTACAGAGCTACAGTAATGAAAACAGCTTGCTATTGGGCATAAAAATAGAGACGTTGATCAATGGAATAGAATTGAATACCCAGATATTAATCTATACACCTATGAACACCTGATTTTTGACAAAGAAGCTAAAATTACACAGTAGAAGAAAGAAAGCATCTTAAACAAATGGTGCTGGCATAACTGGATGTCAACCTGTAGAAGAATGAAAATAGATCCGTATCTATCACCGTGCACAAAACTCAAGTCCAAATGGATTAAAGACCTCAATATAAATCTAAACACGCTAAACCTGATAGAAGAGAAAGTGGGAAGTAACTGCAATGCATGGTCACAGGAGACCACTTCCTACATATAACCCCAGTAGCACAGACAATAAGAACAACAATAAATAAATGGGACCTCCTGAAACTGAGAAGCTTCTGTAAAGCAAAGGACACAGTCAATAAGACAAAAAGGCAACCTACTCTTCACCAACCCCACATCAGACAAAGGCCTGATCTCCAAAATATATAAAGAACTCAAGAAATTAGACATTATATTTCTAAATAACTCAATTAAAAAATGGGGTACTGAACTAAACAGAGAATTCTCAACAGAAGAAGTTCAAATGGGCAAATGATACTTAGGGACATGTTCAACTTCCTTAGCTATCAGGGAAATGCAAATCAAAACAACTTTGAGATACCATCTTACACCTGACAGTATGGCTAAAATAAAAAACACCAATGATAGCTTATGCTCGAGAGGATGTGGAGTAATGGGAACACTCATCCATTGCTGGTGGGAATGCAAACTTGTGCAACGGCTTTGGAAATCAATGTGGCAGTTTCTCAGAAAATTGGGAGCCAACCCACCTCAGGATCCAACAATACCACTCTTGGTAATATACCCAAAAGATGCCCAATCACACTACAAAAGCATTTGTTCAACTATGTTCATAACAGCATTATTTATAATAGCCAGAACCTGGAAACAACCTAGATGCCCCTCAACGGAAGAATGGATAAAGAAAGTGTGGCATATCTACACATTAGAGTACTACTCAGCAGTTAAAAAAAAATGACATCTTGAATTTTGCATGCAAATGAATGGAAGTAGAAAACATTATCCTGCATGAGATAACCCAGACCCCATAATATGAATATGGTATGTTCTCACTCAGTGGATTCTAGCCATGAATAAAGGACTTTGAGCCTATAATTCATGATCCTAGAAAAGCTAAGTAATAAAGTGAACTCAAAGAAAAATATAGAGAGATCTACCTGGAAATTGGAACCAAACAAGATCGCCTGGCAAAAGTTGGGAGCATGGAGGCAGGGAAGTAGAACGAAGGGGAGAGGGGGAGGGAAAGAGGAGAAGGGGAGGGTTGGGGAGAGCTTGGGGGAGTGGGATGGTTGAGATGGGGGAAGGAGGGATATGGGAGCAGGGAAGGAGATATCTTAATTGAGGGAGAAATTTTGGGGTTGGCAAGAGGATTGGCTCTGAAGGGGTTCCCAGAAGTCCATGGGGAGGACCCCAGCTAGCACCCTGGGCAGTGGAGGAGAGGGTGCCTGAACTTACCTTGTCCCATAGTCAGACTAATGACCCTCTTGAATATCACCATAGAACCTTTGTCTGGCAGTGAAGGATGGAGACAGAGACAGAGACCCACATTGGAGCACTGGACTGAGCTCCCAAGGTCCAGTTGAAGAGCAGAAAGAGGGAAAAAACGAGCAAGGAAGTCAGGACCATGACGGGTTCACCCACTGAGACAGTGTGCCTGAGCTAATGGGAGCTCACCAACTCCAGCTGGACTGAGACTGAAGGAGCATGAGATCAAACTGGACCCTCTGAATGTGGTTGACAATTGCAAGGCAGACTGAGGGGCCAATGATAATGGCACTGGGATTTGTGTCTACTGCATGTACTGGCTTTTTGGGATCCTATTCTCTTTGGATGCATACCTTGCTCAGCCTGGATGTAGTGGGGAGGACCTCTTCTAAAGAGGCAGGCAGCTTCTGCCTCTCTCCCTTCTTCTCTTCTATCCCCACTTTTCTCTCCTATTCTCCCCCCGTAACCCTTTACTTTTATGCTGTCCCCAATACCCACTACATAAACTCTATACCCAAGTTTTCTCTGCTTGATGTGTCTGTCTCCTTCCCACTGTGGCCTCCGGTCACTGCTGCCATCCCTCATGGGACCAGTCTCACCCAGGTCACCTGCGTCATGAATGATAACAGAGGCCATAAGTGTAGGACCCTTAAAAGCAGAGAAGAGAGGCAATTGTGCACAAAGCACAAGTTATGTGAAGACTGAGTATTCAGAAATCCTCAAGTCATGAAGAGCCTCTGTCCCAGCCCCACCTCCACCCCCCTAGAACTGCCATAGGGACTTCTGGCCTCTACAGCAGTGAAAATATAAATTATCTGTGGCTTGAGACCTACATTCTGTGGTACTGTGATCGTTTCTCGAGTGACAAAATGAGTGTAGAGTTTCGGGTTGCAAGATGAAAGTTATTGGTGTGGACTGGCCGGTGGCCAGTAATACTATAGTTAGCACTACTGTACCACACACTGAGTAACTGACTGGTAATTAGTTAGTAGTATTAGTAGCTTTTAACTCACTGTGACCAAAACATCTTCTAGAAACAACTCAAGAAGAGCTATTTATTTGGGTTATTTTCAGAATGTTTTAGTCCTTTATCACAGAGAGGCATGGTGAAGTGTTTTGGTCTATGCAGCAGGACCATGCGGTGAATGCTGCCCACATGGTGACTATGACTCTTGAGACCCACCGCTGACCTACCTCTGTTGGTCAGAACCCACCTCCTAAAAGCTCCACAGATTCAAAATAGCACCATCAGCTGAGAGGCAAGCATCGAAAACATGAGCTCGTGGAGGACACTTCAGATAATAAATAAACATGTTTTTTGTTTGTTTTGTTTTGAGTCAGCGTTTCTCTGTGTTGCTTTGGAGCCTGTCCCGGTATTAGCTCTGTAGAGCAGGATGGCCTCGAACTCACAGAGATCCACCTACCTCTGTCTCCCAAATGCTGGGATTAAAAGGGTGCACTACCACCACCTGGCTTATGAAACAGCTTTTTAACAATTTTTTAACCCATAATTAAAATTAAAACTAAGCTGGGACCTTGCCGGTGCCTCAGGACCTGCAGCTGCCTCCAAGCGAGAGAGATGAGCTGGCTTTCAGAGAGATCAGCAAGGGATGACTTCTGAAGATCAGATCCAAGAAGGGAAGAAAGGTCTGAAACCCAAAACTGAAATGGCTGATAAAGAAAATACTGGAAACATAATTGAAAAGAAAACTGCATTCCATTAAAAACTGATGAAGTAATCAGTTCAGAAATACATAGCTTGAAGGACAGTATTCAAGCTGTGCAATTATTATCAGCTAGAGATGATTTCCAAGGTCAGACTATGACATCACACCAGGCATGTCACCTTAAAGACAATAAAAAGATGCAAGAAGCAGGGTGGTGGTGGCGCACGCCTTTAATCCCAGCACTTGGGAGGCAGAGGCAGGCGGATCTCTGGGAGTTCGAGGCCAGCCTGGTCTACAAGAGCTAGTTCCGGGACAAGCACCAAAGCTACAGAGAAACCTGTCACGAAAAAGCAAAAAAAAAAAAAAAAAAAAAAAAAAAAAAAAAAAAAAAAAAAAAAAAAAAAAAAAAAAAAAAAAAAAAAAAAAAAAAAAAAAAAAAAAAAAAAAAAAAAAAAAAAAAAAAAGCAAGAAACTGCAGAAAAGCACAACAGGAAGCTAACATGCCTTTAAAAAGATGAGTGCTTGGCTACTATCATGGTCAGGTTGTTCAATACAACATGAATTCATTTAGAAAGCTTCCAGATGTCCAAGAAACAAACTTCCCACTACTGTGTCTAGAGCTTCAAAGGCTCAGTCTTTGCCTGGAAATGGCGTTAGTATAAGAGCCTTGATGGGGGAGAGTCTTCTGTTTTGTGTTACTTTCATTGGTTAAATAAAGAAACTGCCTTGGCCCTTTAATAGGACAGAAAATTAGGTAGGCAGAGTAGACAGAACAGAATTCTGGGAGAAAGAAATCCGAGTCAGGCAGTTGCCATGATTCTCCCACCTGACACAGACGCAGGTTAAGATCTTCCCTGGTAAGCCACACCTCTTGGTGTTACACTGATTATTAAATATGGGTTAAAGCAAGATGTGAGAATTAGCCAATAAGAGGTTAGAACTAATGGGCCAGGCAGTGTTTAAAAGTACGATTTGTGTGTTGTTATTTCGGAACATAAGCTAACCAGGCTGGTGCGAAAGCTCGGTGGCGGGAAGCAGCCCGCTGCTCCTCTTACTACAAAGCCTCAAATGTGACTGCTGCAACTGAGTCTGTAAACACTAAATCTGTGTGCAATATGTCGAAGAACTCACTTGTGCAACCACCTATTAGAAACCTCCACAATAATACCCAGGGTATGGCAAAACAGGGCCTTAGCAGGACCCTTGCCAGTGTTACTATCAGAAAAGAGCCTTTTGAAAAGAATTACTATGATCACAACCAGTTGTATATCCATCCTCAGGACACAAAAAGAGATAAGGCACCATCAAGAAGGATAACATCTGAAGGTGTAGCCAGGACTAATTTGTCTGATACCCGACTGCTATAAAAGTCAAAATAAAAAGAGTGAGACCCAATTTCAAGAATAAATTAAAAACAAAAGTAACTGTTTTCTTTGTGTATAAAAGTGGTTTATGCTGTTTACTGATTTGAATGAGTTCCACAATTTGGTCTTTTTATTCTTCACTATATCCACTGATTTCAAACCCAAGGACAGAGGCCCCGGATTAGGATCTTGACAGTTTCCTCAATCTGAGTCACTGATAAACTTCACGCTGTGAAAGAGAATCTGAAAATATCTGAGAAGCTCTCCAAGCAAAGCACGGTCATCTACATGGGGCCTGGATGTGGAAAGATGAGGTCTTTTCCTGAAAACTGGTGTGCAGTGGGGATTAACAGAAAAGGCTTGAGGTAAACCTATTGCTGTGGGGTTGTGCCCACTTGATGAGATACACTGGCAGGCTGCTGAAGCTGCGCCTGCTGTGGATGGAGCGCAGAGTCACCAAGAGTCCAGTATTCTTCGTCGGGTATCCATTCAGCCAGCATCGACTGGAACCATTCATCCCAGTGTTGCAGAAAGGCAAAGTCTGTCTGGTCCAGTTCCTGAAAGTGTTGATTGACGGCTGGAGCCTGAATAGAACTGTCTAAGGGTGGTACAGCCGAACCACTGCTCTCACCAGGATCTTGCCGTCTTTCTTGGATTTGAAGACATAAAGGAGCCTGAGTGGGGAAGCCCTCCTCTCCTGGAGTTACTACCGGTGATAAGTGGCCAATACACGCTGAGGAATTTTGACCATCACCCCTTCCCTGTACCACCTGGGAGGGCTGTGATCCTGTGGTCCTTGACAACTGCTTCTGATGGCCCCTGGAGAGATTCGAAGGACCAGATGGTGTGTGGGGTGGAGAAAGAGCTGTTGTAACTGATAAGCGGCTGGTGAGAGTTTTGGAAGGAGCAGGTTGATCAGTAGTCTTCAGGGCAGGGCACTGGCTGTTCTGGGATAGCTGAGCAGTTGCCTGAGTGCCCTGTTTGGGACCTGGATACCGAGCTCTCCGGTTCTGAAACCATATCTAAAACATACACACAGAGAGAGAGAGTCTTTAATAACAGAAGTAATTCCACCTGTTTCTTACCATTTGCTAAGCAGAATAATAACGGTGGCAAGGACCAAACCTATCAAATGCAGGCTCTTGGTACTTCATTTCCTCCAACTAGACCCCCTATTCCACATCTCTACCACATCCCAACAATCCGTTAATATTTCGAATAGATTCTTTGCAGTGATCAGCTCAGAGGTCTTCTGCTCTAATGTGCTCTGGGAATGCCTCCTCTCACCAACACACGGGGAGATGAGCTTCACTAATCTTCAGTGTTTCTCAATCCCATTACATTGACAATTATGATTAAGTAAATCATGGCACATGGCCATGGGTAAAAATAACACTATGGTTGAAAACATAGATTTAGAATCCACCCCCTTTGGTTCCCAGCCCTGATTTAGGAAACAAGTTCTCAAAAGCAGGGTGAATTTCTGCTCACCAAGGAGCATCTAAGAAAATGGAACTTCCAAAGGGCATGGAAGCACAATGGCTGGTAGGATTGTCTAAGGACATACTTTAGAAGCACCCTTATCAATCTCCATAATATACCAAGAGCGGGGATTTTCAAACCATGCAGGCAGTGTTCTAAATTTCTCAGGATACAATAAGAGATGAGCTAGGCATGCAGACATCCCACGCACAGAGGGTCTGGATGCTAACTAACACCCTAATACACAGGACAACACCCTTATCCTCTGGTACTGAATTTTCAGTATTTTTGAGGATTAGAAACACTAACAAAGATTGCATTCTCAAAACAAGTGTGACTTTCCAGCTTTCCCAATCTCACCTAGCTGTTTTCACTTTTCTCTCTCCCTCATTTCCTCCCACCTTCCTTCCCTTCTACCCTCCCTCCCTCCCTCCTTCCCGCCCTCCTTCCCTCTCTTCCTCCATTCCTTTCTTCTTTCCCTGGTTTTTTGAAACAGGGTTTCTCAGTGTAACAGTCCTGGCTGTCCTGGAACTCAATTTGTAGAACAGGCTGGCCTCGAACTCACAGAGATCCACCTGCTTCTGCCTCCCAAGCACTGGGATTAAAGGTGTGCACCACCACCACACAGCTAATAGTTATTGCTTATTTCCTATGGTCCCATAGATCTGATGCGACTGTTTTTCAGAGTGTCTACACCTCATACCTAGAACAGAGGGGACAACCTCAGTCTAGCAGCAGCTTGCATAGGACAAATGATGGGTAGAGACAAAGACCCTGTGCGACATACATGAATTCTAGATTCCGGGATGCCTGTTTGTTGAGCCAGTTTTTCCCTGGTAGCAATACCAGGGAATCGATTCTTCTCAAAAGCTTCAATTAGAATATCAATCTGAATTTTTGAGAAACATGTCCGTCTCCTCCTAGCTTCTTTAACTACTGAAAACATAGGCACACAACAGGGTTTGCAAATCAGTTTTCACATTCAAACTTGGAAGAAAAAGCAACATTTTGAATATTGTTCTGACTACTTTTACTCTTGGAATATGCTCCATCTTATACTACCAAAGAACTCTTTAATCTATCTTGTCCCTGAGATGAACCCCCAGAAGTGACAGATACAGCATCACCAAACAGCAACAGAAACAAGGAAAGGGAAGCTTTTCTTGCTAAGAGACCTATTTCTGTAGCCCAGGCTAGACTCAGACTCTCTAAGTAACCAGAGATTACCCTGGGTTTTCTTGATCCCCTATCTTTCACCTCCCAAGGTTGGGATTATAGTTACTACCCCAGTGAGATAATGTTTGTATCTCTGACCCTAGCATGCTCAGAATACAATAGGTCCCTGGTCTAAGCTTTCTCTATAGAATATTTCCCCATAGCACACAGTTCTTTACATTCCCAAGGAAATCAATGGAGAGGTTGTATTTGAACTCGTGGGTCTAACCTTTAGGTTTATCCTTTCCCTGGGCTTGGCTTTCTTCAAAGCAACATTCAAACTCCACTTGTTTCTTTATTTTTCTGTTCTTCTGAAACCAAGTCTGTTGGGGGGGGGGATGAAGAGAGGGAACACAGGATGAAGCTCAGTCTAGATCACTGCAAATGTCAACTAAACAAACTGATTGGGCATCTTCCCTGGAGACCATGTCCATAAGAGAAAGGTAGAATTCAGTTATTCATATTGCTACATTTATCTAAGACACCAACAGGAAACTCCACTCATTCTCTCTCCTGCTCCCCCAACCCCCTACCGTGCACACACACACACACTTCATCCTTGTTAAGTGCGTAATGTTTTCAATGCTAATTTCTTGGCCCCTCTTTTGAGCAAATATCATTTCACAATGTGCAATACATATAGACTTAATCTTTGAAAATAACTCCCTTAAATAAAAAGGCAGAATTGACATTAATTTCTGATTACAGCTTACACTATTTCACTCCATGGGAAGCCAGAAATAAGGAGACTCCCAGGGATGCCAACATATAGTTTTAAAAACTGTTTCCACAGACTGGAGAGATGGCTCAGCAGCTAAGAGCACAGGCAGATAATACTCTTCCAGAGGACCCGAGTTCAATTCCCAGCCACATCAGGTGGTTCTCAACCCCCAGTAAACACAGCTCACAGATACAGACATACTTAAAATAATAAAGGTAAGTTTAAAAAGCCATATGACTGCTATAATTAAATTTATTTGCACTTGTTCTCTCGAAGGAGAACTGTGGGTTTTTGGTTTTCTTGTTTTCTTGGGTGGGGTTGTTGCTGGTGTTTTAGTTATTTCTGAGTATTTTCTTTGGACTGATAATTCACTCTAGCATTTACAACCTTATGACAACCACTATCTGCTGAGTTGTTAGGCATAGGCCTTGCAATCCTAAAACATCAATTTCGAGTTTTGTCCTCAAAACTCCTCGTGTTTTCCAGATTCAGCATTGAAAATAAGTTTTCAAATTAAAGCCTTATGAACAGCTGGATGCTTCCAACTAATGAGTAGGTATAAACGTTCTCAGGAGCCACCAACACCCCACAAGGTTCGGAGCTTTTCCATCAGTTCAAGTCTCTTGGGTACCCAGCCACCAGGTGTGCCCACATGGAACAATTTCATTAGCATTATTTGTGCCAACCATCTCCCATACCTGGATAGTTATCAGGACGTAAGAAAATTTTCCTTTCTCCAGGATTCCCAAAGAGTCAAGTTATTATATCAAATGATTATTCATCAAGTATAAAAACCTGAACTAATTTTCTCACCTCTAAAAGTTTTTCTTCACTGGTTTAAATACCAATCCACTTGATAAAATTATACAATTTACTACGCTAGTTCACCTTTGTCTGTCACATCAGCAATTTTATTAAAATAAACCATATAGAATTTTACACAAAGCTTTTATGTAAAGGGCATTTGAGATTATAAAAGAAGGAGGGAGAAGAGAGGGAAAAAGAAGAAGAAGGAAGAGAGAAAGAGCTATGTGGCACACCTTTACCCCAGCCTTAAAGAGGCAGAATCAGGCAGTTTTCTTAGTTCTAAGACATAGCTAGCTTGGTCTACATAGTAAGACTTTGTCGAAAGAAAGAAAGAAAGAAAGAAAGAAAGAAAGAAAGAAAGAAAGAAAGAAAGAAAGAGGGGAGGGAGGGAGGGAGGGAGGGAGGGAGAGAGGGAGGGAGGGAGGGAGGGAGGGAGATGTCCAGAGGGACTGGGAGGGGAATAAGAAAAGAAATTCAAAGAGGATGATTCAGATTTAAAAAAATAATTATCTAGTCCGTGATGGTGCACGCCTTTAATCCCAGCACTCAGGGGGCAGAGACAGGCGGATCTCTGTGAGTTCAAGGCCAGCCTGGTCTATGAGAGCTAGTTTCAGGATAGGCTCCAAAACTACAGAGAAACCCTGTCTCAAAAAAAATAAAAATAATAAACTAATAAATAAGTGAGAAAAGAATAAAGGATAAAATAGTACTAACCTACAAACCAGCAATTTTCATGAGGTCTTAAGTTCCCTATATTTTCACAGATGTTAATTTAATCCCTTCTGTCCTCATAATGAAAGGGTCTACAGTACTAATCTGATGACATGATCTCTTACATTCTGTAATTCTCAAGATAATGATTTTATTATCTCCCACGGGGAAACCATGAACTGGTTATCCTTTCCCACCAGTGCAGGCTCACAAACAATACTTCCTTCAATGAAACATGTTATTTCTGTTTTATCTTCCCAATACATATGGAATAAACTTAGAAAAATATAGCCACCTATGAGACTTGCCCAGGGGAACTTAGCCTGGCTTTGCTCTTCACCTTGACTCAGACAGAGAGAGGACAGGGGCCTAATGCCTACCGTAATTTGAGACTCTGAGATGCCCAATTCCTTAGCCAGACGTCCCCTTGTAGCTAAATCTGGATTAGGATTCTTCTCAAACCATGCATGAAGAGTGTTCTTTTGGTTCTGGTTCAGAATCATTCTCCTTCTCCGAGCTTCTTTTTCCAGTAGGCCTAGCAAAGAAAGACAGGAGAAAATGTGAGAAGGACATCTTTTCTGGCATGAACTCCCGCCATGTCTGCTCCATGCTGAAAGTCCAGACACACAATGATGACTATGTGTTTTTAATTTAGTGATATCTTTTTTTTTTTATTGAAACAGGATTTCTCTGTGTAGCTTTGGCTGTCCTGAAACTCACTCTGTAGAGCCAGCTGGCCTTGAACTCACAGAGATCCTCCTGCCTCTGCCTCCCCAGTGCTGGGATCAAAGGCGTGCGCCACCACCACCCAGCTAGGAATGTAACTTAAGCCATGCCAATAAGACGTGCACAGATATAAACATAATTTTAGAAGAGATGATAATCATATTAGAATAAAAGCAAGAAATTACAGAAATTCCCACAATGGTAGATGAAAATAGAAAGTAGTGGGAATTAGAAACATGCAAATTAATGAAACATGTATATAAGTTTTAAAAATTGAAAGGTTAAAAGATTGAAAGGTTAGATTATTATACAAAATTTGAACTTTGGGATAAATGACATGGTTTTAATAAAATGAAACATTAGATATTTAATTTTCTCTTTATCCAAAGTGTCAACTTAAATATTCTAAGTAGTCTCCTTTAAAAAAAAAAAACCCTGTTATTGTAAATTACAAATTCCAAGAATTTCAAAACACTCATCCATCAACCCACCCAAAATGTCAGTAAAATCCAGCTCTCTTGCCCTTCCTCAAACAGTGGAAAAATAATGATTGTGATATAAAAGTTTTGAGGTTTGGAAAAACAAAGGAGGCCTTTGGCATCACCATGGGAATGAACAGAGAGAAACATACCAAAAGTGCAGCTTAGATCCATACTGAAGTCACCTGGAACCCAGGAGAGACAGACGAGACAGACGAGTGGAGTGGCCGGACTGAGCTGCTCACAGAGACACAGCGTTTATAAGAGCCCAGTCTGGCCCACCCATGCCTTAACTACCTGTTGCTTTAATCCCTTCATTAAATATGCAACAGCACTGTGGCAAATCTTGATTGTCAACTTGATTGGATTAAGAGGTTCCTGGGAGATTGGTGGGCCCCGCCTCCGGGTGTGTCTGGGGTGTTTCCAGACAAGATTAAATCATAAGCAAGTTGAGCTAATCACAGGTTTAACCCTTTGATGGACTGACATTTAGAAGACTCTTGAGGGCGATGAACTGTGAATGCTGGGACTTAGTTGGAGGGTTGCTGAGACTGCGTGACTTTAAAGGCCAGGCCTTGGCCGTGGTGCATTCCTGTGACCCTCTCTATCTCTGCTACCTTAGTTCCAAGAGAAACAGCCTCAGATTCACTGCCTTGATGCTTTGCCTGATCAGGTCCCCAGCTGTGGAGTCCGATAACCACAGACAGACCCTCTGAACCAGAGAGCAAGAAGTGAATTCTTCTTCCTTCAAATTGTCTCTCTGGGGCACTTGTTAGAGCAATGTGAAATTTGACTAACACAGCCACAGAAGAGAAATTTGAAGTAATTATTTACACAAAGAAACCAAATTTGGAGAAAAAGTACCAATTCTTCTGGGTAATTTTGCATCTATCTTAATATCATATAAATGTATGGTTTAATTTCTGAGCTCTCTAGATTGTGCCTGTATATTATTTCATCTTCATTATTTGCTGTGCTCAGGATGGAACCCAGTCTCACGCATGATAAGAGGAGAGAGCCAACCCTCACAAGATGTCCTCTGACCTCCACATATAGCATGGCAGGGACGTGCCCACCTTTATACATACATAAATAAATAACAACTTTATATAACCACATTCAACATATGGTAAGAAAAGAACTGAACGTCACCCAAGAACCTTCTCCTTCTGAGTACATGTGTTCCGGGGAGAGTTATAGAAAGTTAGAAATATGATCTGTTGTTGCTTTTTATTTGCACCGAAGAATAGCTTAGATTAGACATAGGCATGTCGAGTCGGTGTAACTGTTGTAACTCTGGGGAAAGTGAGAGTGGAATTACAACTGCTAGTGAGAAATCATTTCAGCTGTCTCTGTTGCTAAAGAAAAAGATAGTTCATGCTTTAGAAAGGCTGGTAGACTCAGGACCTCTGAGAAACAAGCTGTCGCAGTTACTTTTTCAGCTGAGATAAAATACCCCGATGAAAAGCAGTGTGAGGAAGGAAGGGTTCGGCACAGCCCATCACGCAGGGCGGCCAAGTCAGGAAGCAGACAACCAAGGATGTCTCTGCTCAGCTAGCTCTCTCCTTTTTAGTGCAGTCTGAGACCCAAGCCCTAGCCCCAGGAAAGGAGGGCCTGTTTCGAAAGTGGGTCTTCCCACCCCCTTAACCTAATCAAGATTAACTTGCAGGTGTGCCAGGAGGCTTACCTCCAGGTGAGCCGGTACCCTGTAGAGGTGATAATTTTTACCCAGCACCCACATCTCCACCAATCCTATACAAGCTAGGTAGTCACCGCAGTGTGTCTGTTCCACCAGCAGGGTTCCTAGCTTGTTTTACATTCTAGTCGGACATTAATCTGAAAAATTGTTGGCTGAACACTTAACATTGTCAATTTTTCTGTAGACTGTAGCCAAAACTCACGTTTCAATATGCATGTATTGTTAAAAATATGTTTTGTTGACAGGATATGTTCTTGTGGCTTGCCATAAGATCCATTGTCGTCTTCACTTAAAAAATATTTGCAGTAACAAAGAAAAGAAAACAGACAATAAGTTGGGAGAAATGAAATCAGTTGCATTAATTAACCTTTGGGCAGTGTGTTACAGATATCTGTGTATGAGACCAGTTTTAGTTCCAAGACAGCCACGTGACTAAACTAATGAAAAAATACTTGTGCAGAAAAAAAAAATCCTATCTCCACGTGGTAAAGAGGAGACCCAGGAGCCCCTGATCCCCCCACCCATGTATTTGCAAACTAAGCAGAGATGGAGATCTAGGCTAGGCGGTTCAGTCAGGAAGCAGAAATTACCTAATTAGGGGAATCGCATCTGAAACTGAAGGATGTGAAAAACACCTCTCCAGCAGCAACTTGGTGTCCCACTGATACCACCTCGTCCTTTCATAGTCTCCTCCTCTCCCCACTCCACAAACCCCCTTCCCCCACTGTATCAGAAGAGAAAAAATGTTTGCTTTCTGGAATAAAATGGCGGATTGAACGCTTCCTACAGGCAACCCCGGGACAGAAGAGTCAGGATAACAAAGACAGGGTAACAAATACGGTGTATTCCCAAGAAAGAAAGAAAGGAAAAGCATCAAAAACAGGTGACAGGACAGATGAAAAAGGATGGGAAAATACAAAGGCTAGCTAGGACAAAGACAGGAAGAAGCAATCAGCAGCCCCAATCCCCGCAGAGGAGCAAGAGCCCCAACCACGCGTAAGCGTGTCAGCCCTAGTGACAAAAGACTGGCAGTCTCAGCCGCAGGATAAACCCACAGTTCTCACAAGCCTTAATCCAGTGGGGGAGGGGAGATAATGCTTCCTCCGGTGGGGACCCGCTAGGGGCGGGAAAGAAATCTTGCATCCAGTCCCTGCATCCAAAGCCCTATCCAACCCGGTATTTCAGAAGTGCAGTGCTATACCCGGTGCCTGGTCGAGAAAGGACCTATTGTTTGAGACGAGGCTACTCTGGGACTCCGAAAAAAAGGAACAGTAGTCACAAGTCAGCGAACGTGGGGCCACTCTGCAACAAAAGCTACCAGGCGCAGACGCGAAGAGGAAGGGTCTGACGTGGGCGGGCTGTGAAGTTTTAGGGGCGGGAGCTCAGCGGGGGTGCCCCCTCCCTGAGAACTGAGAGCGGGGGTCCCCACACACAGCCCGCGGGTCCCAGCAAAGACGCAGAGAGATCCAAGTCCCGGCTGGCGGATTCCTTGGCCTCTGGAGTTGCCTCTAGTCTGCCACGTAATGAAAGAAAACACCAAGAGCCCAGAGCTGGCAGATGGCTCTATTTCCAACAGGGAGGCTTGCTGCTAGGCTGGGGCTGCCTGCCCGAAAACAGGCAGACAGCTTGTCATCCTCTCCCGGTGCAAACACCAGCACCTTGATTCCCTTCCGATACACTCCTGGACACCTCTAGGCTTGGACATTTGCCACTGCTGGGTGTACAAATTTAAATGTGTGTGTGTGTGGGGGGGGGGTGTCTATGGATTGGGAACCTGCCTGACCCACAACCCGCAAAATTTACTGTGGTCAGCTACAGTCGTCAGGGAAGGGAAACTAAAAGAGTGAATGTATCCCTGACCTCGCAGCCCACCCTTGACTAGGGCAGACCCTCTCCGCAGAGGCAGAAGGCTTTTCAACAGGTTTCAGCACTGACACATCACACTCCCTCCATCTGGCAGACTCTAGTACTAAATGAACCCTGAAGGAAGTTTGGGGTTTCCCCCCTCACGTTTTTCTTTTTGCTATATTATATTTTTACTTTATTTTATTGAAATTTTTATTTAAAAATTATTTTAATTTTTGTTCCTTTTTATCCTTAACTTTTCTTAATAAATTTTTAATTCATATTTATATCCTTAACATTTTCCTCATTTCATCTCTTTTCCCTTTTAGTTGCCCCTCCTAATTTTCTTTCTTTTTTTTTTTTTTTTTTTGGATTTTCGAGACAGGGTTTCTCTGTAGCTTTGGAGCCTGTCCTGGAACTAGCTCTTGTAGACCAGGCTGGCCTCGAACTCAGAGATTTGCCTGCCTCTGCCTCCCTAGTGCTGGGATTAAAGGCGTGCACCATCACCGCCCGGCAACCACTCCTTATTTTCATCCTTGTATTATTACCTTTATCTTATTATTTAAGACTTTTTGTTGGTTGCATTAATTATTCATAACAATGAGTTTCACTATGTCATTTCCATGCATGTATATAATGTAACTTGACTATATTCACCCCAGTTGCTTATCTTATCCTGCTGCTAAAACAGCTCAGAAATTCATTTTTTTTTTTAAAAAAATCACTCTAGGCGGGCATCTGGATAAGAAATACAGCAGTTTGAGAAATTCAAAGAGTCTTGCATTCTGAATAACACCAGCAAATAAAAATTCTAAAAATGAGTGTTCAGCCTTCCCAATAACTCACTGGAAAGCGACAGAAAGCAGGGGGATAGTGACTTACAATGACTGCAAGGGTGCGTGGTGGGGAAAGGTTGTAAAAAGCTACTCACTCTGGAGGCTGGAGCGCCCTATGCTGCGAGACTCCCGAACAAGACCTCCACAGAGCTGGTTTCTTGTGCAAACACAAAGGGGTTTATTGATTACAAGCTCGAGCTTGAACCACCGTCAAACACTCCGGTGCAGCGGGTAGAGGAGAGCAGCACTGAGCGTTTACAGTTTGGAGTTTATATATATAAACACACACACACAAGCAGTAGTACGAGTGGGTCACAGCCTTGCCATTGGGTCTTGGGGTAGGCACCATTTAACCTGATTGGTTATGGTGAGCACAGAATTGAAGAGTAAAGTAGTTAAAAATACATCAGGTGTGACTGAGGCATGTGATTAGTAGCTGTCATTAACCCTGTGGTTCTTGGTTGTCATCAATCATATGCTCATCAATTTTACCCAGGATGGCGTTTGACTCGATTTCAGGAACTTCGGATCATGGAGAGGGCATAAGGGGGGTGGTCTTAGTTTAGATCAAATTTGGTCCTCACAGAGGCTACTTATTATCATAGCATTACTTATTTAGTGAATTCTAGTCTAGCTAGCAAGCCTGTAATCCCAGTCTCTACCTCCCAGAGAACTGCGATTACAAGCAGCTGGCATGGCCCAGATTTTGTACAAGAATTCTAGGAATCTTAACTCTGATCCTCACAATTTACAGGGCAAAAACTTTAAGCCATATTCCAGCCCCACTAAGAAGCTAATTCAGTCTCAACATTCCCAGAAATACATTTATCGTTACTACCTGTTACAGCCCTTTACTAAATGTCCTGTAACTACTTTGTAGATTAGTCTGGCCTCAGACTCAAAGATCCACCTTCTCCTGCCTCCTGACTGCTGAGATTAAGGTGTTTACCACCACATCTGGCAAAATCCATCTTTTAAGTGAAATGCTTCAGCCTGTCTGTCATTCCCTTGGGCTCAAAAATCTAAAGAACCACCTAGCCAACAATCTTGAAAATAACAGGGCATGGTGGCACACGCCTTCAATCCCAGCACTTGGGAGGCAGAGGCAAGTGTGTTATGCCCAAATCCGTGAAGTCCCCCCAAAGCCAACAAGGAGAACAAGTCCCATATGTAAAAGCAAAGAGCCTTTATTTTATGCAAGTTTGAAAACTTGGTCTCTCCACATGTCCAATGTGTTGGAATAAACGGAGAGCCCAGAGCTCAGTTACAGTTGGGTTTTTATACTAGTAAATGTTGGGGTGGGAGTTTCTGAGGTTCAGGACTGCTGATTGGCTGACATTTGTCTAGGGGTGTCCTGGTGAGTGTGTGCTGGCAGGTGATCCTTATCTATAGTGGTTGGAACTTGGAACATTAGGCATTTCCTTTGGATGGTCTGTTCTTGGGTGGTGGTCGGGTAATCTCAGTTTATGGTTCTTCCTGCAACCAGGTATTGCTTCAGGGTAAACTACTGAGACTCAGGCCTCCATTAAACTTATGGAATGGCTGAGCCCTACTCTGGCAGGTGATAATGGTTGGAAGTAAAGACCTTCCTTTCGGTGATCTGTTCATATTTAGCTTATCATG